TAAATCACGTGGTGGGTATTATGGGTGTCCATTATAACTAATATCTTTACCTTTTTCTGTGTTTAAAAATCATCCTAAAAGACTAAGACAACGGAGGAAAAATGAGAGCATGAATATTCTAGAAGAGATCATCAGAAGTGTAACATTACTGAAAAGATGATAGATAGGATTTAAATCATAGGTGGAAGAATTGGACCAAATGACCGAAAAGTCAATTGCTCTGTCTTAATAGAGGGGAAAGAGAATGTGATGAGTCAGTTATGTTCGTGTGGTTTTATATATTTAGTAGTAGAAAATTGAAAGAGTTCATGTCTGATGGCTTCTGCTTTCTCTGTGATGTAGAAGGCAGTCATCTGCAAGAGGGGGTATGAAAGGTCAAAAGCTTAAAGAGTTCAAAGGAACTGAAATAGTTGATAGTAAGAGTGGAAGTGATAAAAAGCTGCATAGGCTGTTGGGTGGTTTTGAGGGCCCATTTGAGATGGGTAAAATGAATTTGTAGTGTCACTAATATGCCGTTTGACTTTTTCGATCAATGTTTGGCCACTTCAGTACTGGCTGAAAGAAAGTAGGTAGTTGGGTTTATGAAGGTTGTGATTTTTGTCTGTTGAGTATGACAGAATAAAAGGGTGGGGAAACTAGGGTGCTAGCAAGATTGTTGATCAATGCTGGATCTGGAACCTAATCCGTATAAGGAGGAAAATGCAGTTTGCAAGTAGCAGATGAATAAGCTCTGGGGGTCTAATGCACAGCCTAGTGACTACAGTCAACTGCACTGTGTCATATACTTCAAAGTTGCTAAGAGTCTCGATCTCACATGTTGTCTTTACAAAGAAAAGATGGTAATTGTGTGATAGGGTAGTTAACTCCTTGGTAATCATATTGCAATGTAGAAATCACATTCTTTAAAACTTCTACAGTAACTACATAATATTATATGTCAATATATCTCAAGAGGTACCACAAACTCACTGTGTTTCACACTGGACTCCTTATCTCTCTTATGAACTTCTCCTTCGAGGAGTCAAGGACTTGAAAGTGTCTGGGATTTTAAGTACTTGCAGGACGGTCAGTTAGCCTATTCCTGTTTCATGGATGCTAGCTGACCACAGAGACTCCTTGGTCAGAGACCAAGGACCACCTTACTCACAGCACAGCAAGTAGCATATCCTGGTGTTGGTTTGTGTTAATTTCCCCATGCTCTTCAGTTTCTATGAGGTTAACACAGGTGGGGGTAGATGGATGCCACACATACAGTGAGTGGGGTTTGTGTCACAGCCCAGAAACACTGAGCTTGCGGAATTGACTGATTTTACAGTTAGGTGGAAGCAAGCCTGCTGTGTCTTGGGGTTGAGGAGACATTGTGTCATCCCTCAAGGTTGCTCGCCCCGAATACATCCCTGAGAAATGGCCCAATTGAAAGTGACTAGGGCCTTACATTTTGGCTCACCCAGGAGAAATGTGTAGGGACGTCCAGGGACCATGGCCTCTCCCAAAAGTAACCCATCCACAGAGTGGTGGTGATGAGGGAACTGCTTTTTGTCATTCCTGTTCATGGTACCTCCATCCTTTTGGACACCCAGGCTAGAAAATCTCATTCATTTGGTACATACCATAGTGTGTTCTGAGTAGCCCTTGCCACATGCTACTAGCCTTGTTACCTGAAACTGGATTTGCCTCTTGATGAATGTTGAGCCAAAACACACAACCAAAGAACAGGAAAAGGAAGGGTTTTACTTGTCATAAGTAAAGGAGAATACCTTTGTTTGTTTCTTCCCCAAAGCAGTGTCTCCCTGACTGACAAAATTGAGGACATTTTAAGCTGAGGGTGAGTACATATTCATGAAGGGGTTTAGGCAATGGGAAATACAGCATGGAGTTGGGGCAAATGTCATCTTAAGGTAACTAGGTCCAGGTCAAAGTCACAAGGAATGGTAGTGCTGACCTCTGCTTCTATCAGTTCTCTGGCTCCAGTTGGACTGATATCTAAGTGCTCAAAGGGGTGTAGATCTTGCAAAGTTAACTCTAGAATGTGGGTCGGGTCACCTGGCCTGATAGTGGCTGTTCTCACATTCTTTCCTGAGATGTCTGGGGGCCTCAAATGACTTTTTAAGAAAGCTATGTCTGTTGGTCTTTTTCTGGGGACCCCTAACTCTTTGTGTTTACAGTTGGAGATAAGCTCTTCTGTAAAGGGTCATTTGTGTGTGGGTGGCTTTGGGTGGAAAGGCAGTAGTGAGTGGGTAAAAAGTGGCTTTGAATACCCTGTAACTAATGAGATCTGTTAGAGCTCCTTGGTACTCCTTTTGAGTACATTAGCAACTCAGTAAGCAAGATTTACACCAATTTTACTTGCTTAGGAGTTTCTGGAACTCAGGAAATGAAGAAGCATCAGAACCAGAGTTTTTAGGATTTGGGGGCCAGTGATATCTTCGGTATGATCCAGCACGGGCAGTTAAGGTTGTGAATTTAAAGAATCTGTGAATGCTACTTACCTTCAGTTAGGCAGAATGATATTCCAGATTGGCTGTAATCCAGTCAGTCTGGTAGTCTCTGAGGAACATACTAAATTATTAAACAGTAGGATTTTGTCATGAAATGGTTAAGACTTACAAAGAAAGTTACCCAAATTTGCTGAAAATTTAGATAATGGAGAAGTATATTACAAAAGTAAATTGGAAATGGAATATTAGAAGGATGTCAGCTCTTCTCAAATGTATTTACAGTTTAATGCTATTCCAGTCAATCCCAATAGATTACTTTGTTAGTTTGACAAAATAAACTGAAAATTAACCCTGAAAAATAAACAGATACTTATACTACAGTTGAAGTGAATGAAGGGTAGACACCAGAAACAAATTTTCTCTTATGGGAGAGTCTCTCTTATGGGAGTTTGGGGTTGGGATAGTCTTTTGGGGCTCTAATTTTGACCTGAGGAAACACAAACTGGATCTTGCGCTTGGAGAAACAGAAAAAAGTTATTTTGTAGAAAGAAGAAAAACAAAAATATGAAGAGAAAAACAGGACAGGTAGAGAAATAATACTATCAGTTTTCAGCTTCTAGTTTTGTGCTGAGGTAGTAATATTCTTGCCTTGTGGTTCTGTGATTCATCCTAAATACTTAGCTTAATAAATAAAGGAAAATTTTTTCTATTTCAACTTAATTTACCGGAGGAGTGTCTTGCGTGCTAGGGATGTAGACAAAAAATAAAGCGAACAAGGTTCCTGCCTCAAAGGAGCTTTCATTCTACCACGAGGAAATGGACGACAAATAAGCAAATACATGCAGGGTGGCAGCGTTAAGTGATGTTATAGGATAAGGCGCGTACATATGTGCTGTCAGTAAAGATCCCTCTGAGGGGGTAACGTTTGAACAAAAATCCAAGAGCAAGCAATGAAAATACCAGGAATAAGAGCATTTCAGACCCAGGAAAGAGCAAATATAAAGACACTGAGGCTGGGGCCCCTGGGTGGCTCAGTTGGTTAAGTGTCTGACGTCGGCTCAGATCATGGTCTCATGGTTCATGAGTTGGAGCCCCACATCAGGCTCTTTCCTTACAGTGCAGAGCCTGCTTTGGATAGTCTGTCTCCCTCTCTCTCTGCCCTCCACCCCCCTACCTCAAAAACAAACTTAAACAAAAAGCAAAAAACACTGAGGCCAGATCCTAGTTAGTGTGTTCAAAGGACGTCAAGAAATCTTCAGAGTGGCTGGAGCAGAGTGAGGGGATGGTGTGATTGATAAGGTCAGAGGGATGTGTGTGAGAGGTTGTCTAGAGCTTTGTAGGTTAAGGTAGAGAGTTAGGTTTTCCTCAGAATGGGAATGGAAAAACCATTATAAGACTTAAAGCAGAAGAGAGACTTGTGGGTTTTTCTTTTTTTAAGTTTATTTTGATTTTTTAAAAAGTTTGTTTTGAGAGAGAATGGGGGAGGGGCAGAGAGAAGAGGATCCCAGGCAGGCTCTGCACTCTCAGAGCCTGATGTGGGGCTTGAACTCACAAACCATGAGATTATAACCTGAGCCGAAGTTGGATGCTTAACCTGCTGAGCCACCCAGGCACCCCGGGAGACTTGTGTTTTAAAGGATCACTTGGGGGGCACCTGGGTGGCTCAGGCAGTTAAGCGTCTGACTTCGGCTCAGGTCATGATCTCATGGTTCGTGAGTTCGAGCCTCTCATCTGGCTCTGTGCTGACAGTTCGGAGCCTGGAGCCTGTTTTGGATTCTGTGTCTCCTATCTCTGCCCCTCCCCCACTTGTGCTCTGTCTCTCAAAAATAAATAAATGTAAAAAAAAAAGAAAAAAAGGATCACTTGGTTGCTGTATTTAGAATAGATTGGGAAGTGGTCATCCACAGTAGAAAGGAGACCAAGTTAGATGGTGGTGGCTTAGACTGAGGTAGTCAAGGTGGAGGTAATCAGAGTTGGTCAGATCCTAAATATTCTTTTCTGAAGGAAGAACTGGCATGCTTTGCTGATGGATTACATATAGGGTGTGAAAGAAACAGAAGTTAAGGATGGCTCCCAGGTTTTTGGCTGAAACAGTTGGAAGGACTGAACTTTCATTCATGGAGACAGGGAAGACCTGGGGTAGAGTGGGGTTCAGCTTTGAAGTATGAACTTTGAGGTGCTGATTAGACATGTATGTGGGGATAACTATTGGTGCCCTCTGACGTATTGTAAAGTACTTCTTACTGGTCTGTATTCTAGTACTAATGATCTGTAATTTAGTCTTTTTATTTTTATTTTTATAATTACCTTTTTTTTTTTTAAGTTATTTATTTTGGGAGAGAGTATGCATGCTCTAGCAGGGGAGGGGGAGAGAGAAAGGGAGAGAGAGAATCCCAAGAGGCTCTGTGCTAACAGTTCTATCCCAGGAACCCCTGAGATCATGACCTGAGCTGAAATCAAGAGTCTGAGCTTAACCAACTGAGCCACCCAGGCACCCCTGAAAGTAGATTAATATGTAAATGGACAACTAAATCAGTCTCTGTCACTGTTTTTGTTTTGTTTTGACAGTTGCTTTCACTTCTTAATTTCTGAGGTAAACAAGTTAAAGGATGAGTGAACTGGAACAGTTGAGGCAGGAAGCTGAACAACTTCGGAATCAGATCCAGGTAAGAACAAAGTTTCTCGTTTTAAAATTTTAACACTTTTATTCAGTACCAGCAATGAATAAAATTTGTTCATTATTTCATCAGTCTACATATATTAAATCTATAAGGCTTGAAATGGTCAATTTGTTTTTATCCTACCTCTGAAGTATTCTATAAAAATTATTCCTGAAAAATATCTCTGTGGACCTATGGCCTCTGTGTCCCTAAGAAGTTAATATTATATATGGAATTCCTGCTGAAAGTCAAACATCATTTTCTTCTTAGTTACATACCTGGAATTGTAGTTTAATTTTTGATGCAATACGATGAGGCAGGTATTATCACATTGCAATTGTAATACACTAGAAAAATAGGAAACTCTAAAACATTACAGAAAAACATTAAAAATTATTAGTGGCATAATAAAGACGTGTCTGTCATCTTTCACTCTTGGAAATCAACTCAAAACAGCAAAGATCTTAATAAAGTTCTATCTTAAAACAAAATTAAAAGACACTTAGGAATTCACACCAAGAGTCAAACGGAGTGATGCATCAGGGTGTGAGAAGCCTCCAGAAAAAGGGTTTCTGCAAAGTGGGGAGCACTCCTCAGCAACAACACCAGTAATCCTCTTGGGAACAGTGGAAACAGATGTTTCCTGGACAGAGGAGTATCAAGGAGCAGAGATAAACGATGGCGTGTCTATATTCCTTCATGTTTAGGAAGCCTCTTAGTGAGCAGGGTGGAGGAAAGAGACTGAGCTGTAGCCTGGCGCTGCCTACTTTTTGCAGGGAAAGCAAAGGCTGAAACAGATACGAATGAAGAACTTCAGCGCGAAGTGAGGAGAATCCCTAATAACTTGGAACACTGCTGACTGCTCACCTCCACCCTGCTGCCCCTGCTCTGAACCTTTTGCAATGGCTGTTTCAGAAGAAGTCTTCTGGTTTGAAAGTGAAGAGTAAGAAGAAAGGAACAAGCACAGGATCTATAGAAGGATATTAACAAGAGAAGAGAGGAAAGGAGCAGGAAAAACAGGGGTGGCTGAAGAACATGCGCCAAGAAAACATTGTTTCTGATTGGATTGAAATTATAACCAAATGTTACTGCCAGGAATTCAAGGAAGTGAATTTGGATGTGAATAAGAACTCTTGAGTTTGATAGTGTAGATGTTTGAATAAAGCTGTCCAAACAAAGAAGGGATGTATTTTGCCTGTGATGATGAACGAAGGCTTCATAGAATAATCTGTAAATTAGATGATGTTGCCAACACCAGAATGAATTCTCAGTGATCTCTACTTGGTATCACTTGCTCCACATGCTGAACAGGACTAACTCCTTGGCTAAGTACATGGTCACATGACCAACTATGTCATTTAAAAAATTCTATTCTCTGTATATGAACTTGGCTTTTTTTTTTTTTTTTAATTTTTATTAAATGTAAGGGAGATCGTATGGTATTTGTTTTTTGTCAGATTTGTTTCACTTAGCATAATGCCGACAGGGTCTACTCATGTAGTTGGAAATGGCAAGATCTCTCTCTGTCTCTCTCCCTCTCTCTTTTAAGTAAGCTTCAGTCCCAGTGCAGAGCCCGACACAGGGCTTGAACTCCTGACCCTGAGACCAAGAGTCGGATGCTTCACTGATTGAGCGCCCCAGGCGCCCAAGATTTTTTTTTTAATGGCTGAATACTATTCCTGTGCATATGTACATACATTTTCTTTATTTACTCTTTTATTGATGGACACTTAACGTTGTTTCCATGTCCTAGCTATGTAAATAGTGCTGCAATGAACATGGGTGTGCATATATCTTTCTGAGTTAGTATTTTTGTTCTGATAAATACCAGAAGTTGAATTGCTGGATCATATGGTAATTTTATTTTTAATTTTGTTGAGGAACCTCCCTATTGTTTTCCATAGTGGCTGCACCAATTCACATTCCCATCAGCTGTGCACAAGGGTTCCCTTTTCTCCATATCCTTGCCAATGCTTGTTATTTCTTGTCTTTTTGATACTTGCCATTCTAACAGGTGTGAGGCAATATTTCATGGGGGTTTTGATTTGCATTTCCATGATGATTAGTTATGTTGAACACCTTTTTGTGTGTCTTTTGGCCATCTTGTAGGTCTTCTCTGGAAAAATGTCTATCCAGGTCAGCTGCCCTTTTTTTTTTTTTTTTTTTTTAAATCATTTATTGTCAAGTTGGCTAACATCCGTGTATAGTATACAGTGTGCTCTTGGCTTCCGGGAGTAGATTCCCATGATTCATCGCTTACATACAACACCCAGTGCTCGTCCCAACAAGTGCCCTCCTCGATGTCCATAACCCATTTTCCCCTCTTCTCTGTTCATCCCCCATTACCTTCAGTTTGTTCTGTTTAAGAGTCTCTTATAGTTTGCCTCCCTCGCTGTTTGAAGCTATTTTTTCCCCTTCCCATTCCCCATGGTCTTCTGTTAAGTTTCTCAAATTCCACATATGAGTGAAAACCTATAATATTTGTGTTTCTCTTATTTTACTTGGCATAATACCCTCCAGTTCCATCCACGTTGTAGTGAATCTCTGCCCATTTTTTGATCAGATTGTGTTTTTTCTGGTGTTGAGTTATATCAATTCTTTATATAGTTTGGACATTAACCCCTTATGGGACAGATCATTTGCAGATATCTTCTCTTATTTAGTAGGTTGCCTTACTGTTTTGTTGATGGTTTCTTTTACTGTGCAAAAGCTTTTTATTTTAGTGTAGTTACAATAGTTTATTTTGCTTTTGTTTCCCTTGCCTGAGGAGACCTATTCAAAAATATGTTGCTAAGGTTTTGTGTTTGAGAGAGAGAGAGAGAGAGAGAGAGAGAGAGAGCGCGAGCACGAGGCGGGGAGGGGAAGAGACAGGGAGACACAGAATCTGAAGCAGGCCCCAGGCTCTGAGCTGTCAGCACACAGCCAAACATGGGGCTCAGACTCCCCACAAGACCATGACCTGAGCCAAAGTTGAGTGCTTAACCAACTGAACCACCCAGGCACCCCTGGTTATTCTTTTGTTTTGTTTTGTTTTTTAAGGTGTTTTATGTTTTATGGTTTCAGGTCTCACGTTTAGGTCTTTACTCCATTTTGAGTTTATTTTTGTTTGTGGTGTAAAGTGGTCCAGTTTCATTCTTTTGCATGTAAATGTCCAGTTTTCCTAACTCCATTTATTTAAGGAGTGTCACCCCCCTCCCCCATTGCATCCTTTGTCATAGACTAATTGGCCGTATAAACATACATTTATTTCAGGGCTCTGTCCTGTTCTGTTGATCTGTGTGTCTATTGTTGTGTCAGTACCATACTGTTTTGATTACTGTGGCTTAGTAGTATGGTTTGAAATCTGGAATTGTGATACCTCCAGCTTTGTTCTTTCTCAGATTGGCTATTCAGCTTTGGCTATTCAGGGTCATTTGTGGTTCCATACGGATTTTAGGATAATTTGTTGTGGTTCTGTGAAAAATGCTATTAGTGTTTGCCTGGGGATTGCATTGCATTGAACCTGTAGATCGCTTTGGGTAGTATGGACATTTTAAATAATAGTATTCTTTCAATCATGGGCGTGGTATATTTTTCCATTTTTTTTTAAATTGGATTGTTTTGCTTTTGAGTTGTCCAGGTTCTTTGTTTTGTATCTTAACCCCTTATCAGATACAGGATATACAAATATTCTCTCCCTTCCAGTAGGTTGCTTTTTCATTTTATTGATGGTTTCCTTTGCTGTGCAGAAGCTTTTTGGTTTGATATAGACCCACTTGTTTATTTTGCTTTTGTTGTCATTGCTTTGGGTGTCCAATCCAAAAAATCATCACCAAGACAGATGTCAAGGAGCTTACCACCTATGTTTTCTTCTAGGGCTTTTATGGTTTCAGGTATTCAAGGGTTTAATCGTCTTGAATTTATTTTTGTGTATGGTGTAAGATAGTGGTACAGTTTCATTCTTCTGCTTGGGGCTCTCCAGTTTTTCCAACACTATTGAAGAGACCATCTTTCGTTGTCATAAATTGACCACATATGCATGGGTATATTCCTGGTTTCTCTGTTCTATCGATCCATATGTTCATTTTTATGCCAATACCATACTGTTTGGTTACTGTGGCTTTGTAATGTAATTTGAAATAAGAGAGCATGATGCCTCCAGTTTTGTTCTTTTGTCTCAAATTTTCTTTGAAACCACAAAAGACCCTAAATAGCCATACAGATTTTAGGATTATTTGTATTTTTGTGGAAAATGTATTTTGTGGAATTTTGATAGGGATTGCATTGCATCTATAGCTTGTTTTGAGTAGTATGGGCATTTTAACAATATTCCTTCAATCCACTAGAATAGAATGGCTTTCCATTGATTTGTGTCTTTAGTTTCTTTCATTTTTTCTATTTTCAATACACAGGTCTTTCACCTCCTTGGTTAAATTTATCCCTAGGTATTTTATTCCTTTTGATGCAGTTGTAAGTGGGATTGTTCCCTTGATATCTTTCTGACAGTTAATTATATGTGTATAGGAACACAATAGATTCTTGTATGTTTTGTATGTGTTGCAGCTTTACTGAATTTATTTCTAACGGTTTATTAGTAAAGTCTTTAGGGTTTCCTATATATAATATATCATCTGCAGAGAGTGACAGCTTTATTTCTTCCTTTCCAATTTGGATGCCTTTATTTCCTTTTTCTTGCCTAATTGCTCCGGCAAGGATTTCCAGTAACATTAAAGTGGGAAGTGTGGGCATCCTTGTCTTGTTCCTGATGTCAGAGGAAAAGCTTTCAGCTTTTCATTGTTGAGTATGATGTTATCAGCTTGTCCTTTATGACCTTTATTATGTTGAGGTACATTTCCTTTATACCCACCTTTGTTGAGGGTTTTTATCATAAATGGATGCTGCATTTTGTCAAATGCCTTTTCTTCATCTACTGTGATGATCATACAGGTTTTATCTTTCATTTTGTTAATGTACTATGTCACATTGATTTGTGGATGTTGAGCCATCCTTGCATCCCTGATATAAGTCCGACTTGATTATGGTGTGTGATTGCTTTAATGTATTGTTGAATTTGGTTTGCTAATATTTTATTGAGGTTTTACATCTGTGTTCATCAGAGATAGTGACCTGTAATTTTCTTGTGGTGTCCTTGTCTGGAATGATTGGCCAGGCACACGGTCACATGTTGATCTCACTGAATCCTCATAGCAACCCTGTGAGGTAGATGGTGTTGCTTTGTTTTACAGCTGAGGAAACTGATCCTCAGTGAGATTAAATAACTTGCCAAGGTAACATAACTGCTCGTCCAGATTTTTTGAAGTCCAGATTCAGGATTCAGTTCAGGTATATTTTGGTGCCAGAGCCTGTGCCCCAACACCACTGCTACACTGCCTCCCAGCTCTGCAGTCTGTACCAACATCCTGCTCTACATCCTGTGTTGTAGCCATATATTTCTGGTGGCCAGTTTCTGAACGTGCATTGCTCTTTCCCAGTTTATCGCTCTTTTACAAGTTGTTTCCTTTGCCTAGAATTATGCTATCTTTGCTCCAGTTTTGCTCCTATGACTCCAGTTCATTGAGTCCCCATCATCTGAAAAGACTCACCAGAGTCCTCCAGTTGGATTTATTCTCCCATTTATTGGAAGGCCTCATGGCATGGTAGAAAGTGCGTGGGTTCACATTTTAATTATTCTGTGGCCTTGAGCAAGTTTAACTTCTTTGATGCTTGGTAGCTTTGCTGTAAAGCAAAGATTGGTGGAGACGATTAAATGGAATGACATGGAAAGAACTTACTAATAAGTGGGAAGGCCTTACTCCTGTAGCACTTTGGACTTGTGTTATAGGGCTGATCACAGCTGGCCTTGTTTTATATAGCTCCTTGTGCACATTTGCCTCTGCTACTTGTACTTGGTTGGAGAATTCTGTGCTTTAATCCCCTTTATATCTCACCAGCCTCCCAAACACAATTGCATGGGTGCAGGTGCTCACTGAATCATCTCCTGTGATTTCAAGTAACCACATGTATGTAAAGTGACAAAATCATGACATGTTATATTTAAAGACCTTCCCTCTTTCTTTCCCCCTCACTTCTAGAAATATTAGCTAACAGTATACTTAAGTATGGTATAAACACATGACACAATAGAAATGTATGCAATTTTATGCAATATGATTCATTTTAAATTAAAAACCGATTAAAAAACAGAAAAACAGATTTTCCTTTGTTACTTGGAGTGGGAAATATATCGCTTTTCTCTTGTACAAAGATGTCTTGTATTATGGTAGACAATATGAATTTCAGCCTTTATTTGGAGTAATTTTATATTCAGTTTTATAATGGATAAGTGTTCATAAGAGTAAGTTCTCTGAATGTGAATAGAGTCTTCGCGTGATTGGCAAGTAACTGTTATTTGTAGTATGCTTATATTCCAACATTTTGATTTTTACTGATTTGCACTATTTAGTAATTTTCATGTGCAGTTTAATTGTGCTGTTAATATTACAAGCCCTGTAGGAGGGCCAGGATTTTTGTTTTGTCTGCTGCTGTAACTGTGGTGCCCAGAATAGTACCTGACACAATGTTCAATGGATTTTTTTTTTTTTTTTTTTTACTGAATGACTGAATTAAGAAAGACAACCTAAGCAAGGATTTTCATAAAGCTTAAAATCAGAGAACCCTGTTTTTAGAATATAGTCTTGGACTCTACCATTTTTGGAACATGGCTCAGGCCATCACTATCCTTTCTGGAAATTCTTTTCATTGTCGGAAAATGGACTAAATTATTCCTTGCCAAATGAAGTTTCTCAGCCCACAATTTGACTACGAATGAGAGAATCAAATCATGTGTTTGTGTAACTGCTTAAGAACATCCTTACATAGAGATATTCTAAGTGTTATAAATAGGTTGAAAGGGCAGCTAAAAGGATCCTGTGTTCCATCTGGTCTTTGCTGCAAGCAGAGGCAGGCATTTTCCCCTTGGCTGACTGGAACGAGTTGTCCATTTGGGGCATTTATTCAGCAAATACCATGTGCTGCCTCTTTGCACAGGAGTCGACTAAGCTCAGTAGGGAAAAGCAGTTGAAAGAGGATACTACCCTAATTTTTGAGAGGAAAAAACAGTTTCAAGTCTAGTAGGAAGAATTGTGCTTCTGATTTTCCCATGTATATGAATCCTCTAAATTTGTTGGGAAACTCCTTTGAAAACATTTTGTTGCTTAGTAAATGTTATTTTGTCATATTGATTCCTGTTTCACCATCTTCTTTTTGATAATTTCCTTCAGATTTAAGGTCATTTTGAAATGCTATCATATAATGCTTAAGCATAAACATCTGCTTACATAGAAGGGCCTTGCTATTAATATAAAAATATAGATGTGACTCAGTATCAGCTGTTCCTTATTAACATAAATTATTTTCTTGATGTATCCTATCTTCATATTGGAGCTAAAATATTTTATTCCTAATTGCAAGTATGCTGTATATAGATACTAAGCATTTTAAAGATGTGTTGTAGACATTAAAAAATACTTCTGAAATGACCTGGGTTATGCTATAAATATCCTTCCCATCACCTCAACTTCTAAATGCCAGAACAAACCAAAAGGGAACCCTGAACCTTTTTGCTGAAGCTTAGTAATAAATATAACTCAGGATACTATGGGCTTATTAAACCAACCTAGTTCATTTTTACTCATGGGGATACAATTTAAAATCTTTTAATCATAAACCAAAAGTATATTTGCACAATGGAATAGAATTGAGAGTCCTTAAATGAACCCATTTATCTAGGGCCGATTGATTTTCAACGAGGATAACAAGGCCATTTGAGAGAGAAAGAATAGTCTTTCCAACAGATGGTGCTGGAACAACTGGGTATCCACATGCAGAAGAATGAATTTGGACTACTACCTCAAACCATTTACAAAAATTAACTGAAAATGGTACCTAAATATAAACGCTAAAAGTATAAAATTCTTAGAACTAAGTATAGCTGTCAATCTTTGTGACCTTGGATTAGGCAATAGTTTAAATTTTAATGTTTTTGTTATTTATTTTGAGACAGCGAGCGTGCATGAGTGGAGGAGGGGCAGAGAGGGAGACACAGAATCTGAAGCAGGCTCCAGGCTTTGAGCTGTCAGCACAGAGCCTGATGCAGGGCTTGAACTCACAAACCATGAGGTCATGACCTGAGCCAAAGTCAGACGTTTAACCAACTGAGACACCCAGGTGCCCCTGGCAGCAGTTGAATATGACACTGAAAGCCTAAGCAACGGAAGAAATCAATAAATCAGACTTCATCAAAATGAAAAACTTGTATGTAAGGACAGTAATGAAGAAAATGAAAAGACAGTCTACAGAATGTGAGAATAATTTATAGTATAGAATACTATATTCTGTAGAATAGTTGCAAATCCTATATCTGATAAAGGTCTAGTACCCAGAATGTATATAAAGAACTCCTACAACTCAACAATAACATAATTGAAAAATGGGCAAAGGGGGGATGCCTGGGTGGCTCAGTCAGTTAAACGTCTGACTTCGGCTCAGGTCATGATCTCGCGGTTTGTGGGTTTGAGCCCCGTGTCGGGCTCTGTGCTGACAGCTCGGAGCCTAGAGCCTGCTTCATATTCTGTGTCTCCCTCTCTCTCTGCCTCTCCCCTGCTCATGCTCTGACTCTGTCTTTCAATAATAAATAAACGTTAAAAAAATTAAAAAAAAAATGGGCAAAGGATTTGAATAGACATTTGTCCAAAGATCTACAAATGGCCAATGAGCATATGTGCAGATGCTCACCATTACTAATCATTAGGGAAATGCAAATAAAAACTATAGTAAGATACTACTACTTCACAACCATGAAAATGTCTATAATAATAAAGAGAACAGTATTGGTGAGGATGTGAAGAAATTGGAAAGCTCCTAATACATTCCTGGTTGGAATGTAAAATGGTACAGCTGCTGTGATAAAAACAATTTGACATTTGGTTAAAAAATTAGAGTTAGCGTATCACCTGCCATTCCTAGGTATATACCCAGAAGAATTGAAAACGTGTACACACAACTTGTATGTGAATGTCCACAGCATCGTTATTCATTAAAAACCAAAAAATGGAAACGTAAATGTCCATCAGTTAATGGATAAACAGTGGGATAAATCCATACAGTGGAATATTACTCAGCCATAAAAAGAAATTAAGTACTGATGCACCACAATATGGAGGTACCCTGAAAACCTACATTAAGTGAAAGAAGCCAGACAAAAGGTCATATTCTAGGATTCCATTTATACGAAATGTCCAGAATAGGCAGTCCATAGAGATAGAAAGTAAACTAGTGATTATCAAGGGATGAGGGAATTGGGAAGCACGGGTTTTTTTTGTTTGTTTTAATGATAAATGTTCTGGAATTGATGGTGGCAGTTGCACAGCATTGTGAATGTACTGACCACTGAATTTTAAGTAAAGATCATGTGGTACAGTAAAAGGTATATTTGTAAGTCTACATTTTCAATGAAAAATAGCATTTTAAATCCTATTCAGAGATTTCTATGTTTAAATGTATTATAATCATCTTTCAGGATGCCAGGAAAGCATGTAATGATGCAACACTTATTCAGGTAAAGTTATTTTTTTTCTTCATTTTAGTAATTCACATGAAATAGCTTAACACTGATACAAATGACATGTAGATGGTATTTGTGAGTATTTAATTGAAAAAATGAGATCTCTATTTAAAAACACTTTGTAATTTGTCAGATGCTGTATATATGCTATTTAAAGCATACTTGTTAAAATAGAAGACTGTGGAAAAATAAATAGTATAAAAACATGTAGATTCATATGTATGTTTTAGGTTAGCTTCTGACTCGTTTTGATATGCCCTGATTAACTTTTTTTTTTTTTTTTTTTTTACATAAACTCTTAGGAAGGTTTCATTAGCTTAACTAATACTGATAATTTTTATTAAGGAAATGTATGCTAAAGCTTGCTTTCCTATAGACAGTTAAAATTATACATGTTTCATTTGATCATTTGATTTTTATTTGTTGCTGTTTTTTTTACTAAAGTTGGGAGGTATGTCTATTCTTTTTAAAAGTTGATAGTCTGTAGTAGATATTCTCACTGGAAGGTGTGTCAATAGGATAATTTCAAATCATACTTTTTCTTCAATTTACTGATCCTATATCTATAATGACTCTGGAATTATTTAAACTACCTTCAGTTGCTATCAGTTTGTTTTATGTCTTATGCTTATTGTTTCTACCTTATTTTCTGAGCTACATCTAAGGTAGAGAATAACATTCTTGGTGCTTTCTAAAGATCACATCAAATATGGATTCCGTGGGTCGAATACAGATGCGAACGAGACGTACGCTGAGGGGTCACCTAGCTAAAATCTATGCGATGCATTGGGGATACGATTCAAGGTTTGTACCTGGCATCATCCAACTATTGGAATTATTTTCATTAAGATTCCTCATTTGCATTTTCTTTGTTTTAAAACAAGCAATATTATGAGGTGTTTATAGAAAATGCTTCAAATATGAACATTTGGCTTTTACTAAAAATCATTCATTGACACTTTAAATGTTTTGAAGCCTTTAATATGGAAAATAAGTTTACCTCTGAAAAGTCTCCTTTATCAGATGATCCATGTAAAATGGTTAGGATTTCTTTTCTTTGCAGTGTATTATTATTACTGTTTTTCTTAATGTGCCAAAGGCAGCTTCACTGTATATTGATCTTAATTTCAGTTAATAGGCAATATTTGAATATTATTGCTATGTACAAGTTACTGTATATTGCTATAATTACTACCTAAAAATCACAAAAGATGGAATTACATAATACAAGTACACTCATACATCTTCTGTTTCCCTAGCCCCAGTATGCAAGTGCATGTGTATGTGTGCACACATACATGGCTGCTGTCTGGTTTGCATTGGATGGTTGGTCATAGACTTACAGAATAACTACAATTGCAGATCGGCCTGCTGTCATAGTGGTTGACTTGTTTCTTTGATTTGATCAATCTCATTGGGAAAAGTCCCAACTAAAAAATTATTTTCTTAAGTTTACTTATTTTGAGAGAGCATGCGTGAGCAGAGGAGGGGCAGAGAGAGAGGGAGAGAGCGAATCCCAAGCAGGCTCCATGCTGTTAGTGCGAGCCTGATGCAGGGCTGGATCTCACAAACCATGGGATCATGACCTGAGCTGAAATCAAGAGTTAGGCGCTTAGCTAACTGAGCCACCCAGGTGCCCCAAGAAATTATTTTTTAATAGAAGCTGCACATTTATGCTTTCCCAGGAGAAACTAAAAAGGTTGTGCCTACTTCAGGTGTCTTCCTGTTTCTTGGCATATCTCAGTGTAAATGGGATACTTGGGTACAGTATTATATTTATTATTATTTTTTTAATGTTTTTATTTTTGAGACAGAGACAGAGCATGAGCAGGGGAGGGGCAGAGAGAGAGGGAGACACAAAATCCGAAGCAGGCTCCGGGATCTGAGCTGCCAGCACAGAGCCCGATGTGGGGCTCGAACCCACGGACTGTGAGATCATGACCCAAGCTGAAGTCAGACACCCAACTGACTGAGCCACCCAGGCGCCCCTGGGTACAGTATTATAGAAATGTGCCTCCTATGGGGTGACTGGATGACTCAGTTGGTTAAACAATCGCCTCTCAATTCCAGCCCAGGTCGTGATCTCAGAGTCGTGAGATCAAGCCGCACATCAGGCTCTGGGCTCTGTGCTGAGTGTGGAGCCTGCTTAAGATTCTCTGTGTTGTATCTCTGTCACTCTGTCACTCTCTCTACAAAAAAAAAAAAAAAAAAAAAAATTGCCTCCTAGGAGGGGGAAAAATAAATAATGGACAGGTGGCATAAAGTTAGGCCGAATGTTTTACTGTTTTTCTTAAAGAAGTTTAAGATAAAAAAAAAAAGTTTGCCCATTGCTGCAGCGAACTTTTCACTCAAAATATAATCACTTGAAATAATTACTTGAATAAATTACTTTCCTCAGAATTTCTCAAGACTATTACTCTTCATAGAAAAACATCAAGGAACCTGTCTTTAGCAGTTCATCACTTAATAGTTCTTCTCACCACGATGCTGATGATGCCAATTGATTTTTTTTTTTTTAAGTTTATTTAGAGAGAGAGAAAAATGAGAATGAATCCCAAGCAGGTTCCCTGCTGTCAGTGCAGAGCCTGATGCAGGGCTCAATGTCATAAACCATGAGATCATGACCAGAGCTGAAATCAAGAGTTGGATGCTTAACCTTCTGAGCCACCCAGGTGCTCCAGATGCCAATTGATTTTTACAGAATCTATTTCTGGTTCTGTCTTGCGTCCTAAAGTTAGATCTTCCCTTTCATAAAGAATTTGCTGCAGTTGCTACATAAAATCCTGCTAATGTTATATACCTGTGGGGAAGGAGGGATCTGGGTGGGTTGGTGACAGGGATAGGAAGGTGACTTTTTGTCACTGGATTTTTTTTTTTGTATCTTTTAAATTTTATACCATAGTGACAAATTTCCAAAGGAAAACAAGAAGTTCAATAACTAATAGTTACTTAGAGTTCTTATTTAGCCAGCAAACAAAGCCTTCTGCAGTTGAAGCCCAGTCTGCTTTTCTTACCTGTTATACCCATTTCTCACACATTCTCTGCAACTGGAAAATTCACAGTTCTTGAAACACTGTATTTTTCTACCTTTTGTCATTGAACATAGCCTCCTCACAGAATATAGACTTTTCTCTGCCTTTAGCTCTCAGAATTCCATTTTTCATCGTGCATTTTTAGCAAGACTACTTGATTAACTCAACCAGCACTTATTTGGCCCTCTTCTGTTTTTCTGTGGCGTTGATTATATACCACCCCTCTGACAATTTTCACTTAATTTATTGTGAACATGTGTAAGTATCTTCTTCTCTGCTAGATGCTAGAGACCTCAAGGGCAGGTGGCATATCCTGCACCACACCTGTAATTCTGTGTTGCATTCACAGGCTCTCAGTTGAGATTTTTATATGAAGTGAAATATGGTTGTTAGGCTTATATCTACTCTGTTGTCTTTAAAGTCTGTAAATAATCAGTAAGCTAATATCTTCAGAATCTTGAATAGGAACTAGAATGTTGCAATAAAAAAGTTGAATCATTAAAAAAAGTTTAATCGTAACCAGAGACATTTTTAAAATGTTTAAATTTTACTCAATTGTATTTATTGAAAACTTTGGCATGCAGAATAAATTTGACAGGATATTTTCTGGTATCAAGTTTTTAACTAGAAAAATTGTATTTTTCTTTTCTGAAGTGTTCTACATTAATGCAGTGCATGACTAAACTATTTTTTTCTTCTAAGTGTCAAATTATTTTTGTGTTTGTTCCTATAGGTTACTCGTCAGTGCTTCTCAAGATGGAAAATTAATTATTTGGGATAGCTATACAACAAATAAGGTAGGATTTCTTAAGAGAGTGATTAAATAACCTTTTATTTGGCGTGGTGTCCAACAGTTTTTGCCTTTATTTGTTACTTCAGACTTTAATTTCCTTCAAAGATAAGTTTATTTTCTCTATTTTAATCTAGTTCCTCTCTTTGGGCTTAGAGCCCTTTTATGTTCCCAAGGACAACCGCAGGAATATTGTTCAGTGTGTTTTACTTGAGTCTCTTATTTTGTATTTGAATATTAGAAAAGAATGTGCATCAGTTTTAAATATGTGATTTTTTAATTTTATTTCTTAAGTTTTATTTATTTCAGTAATTTCTACACCCACTGTGGGGCTCGAATTCATGACCTCGAGATCAAAAGTTGGATGCTCTTAAAAAATAAATAAGTAGGGGCGCCTGGGTGGCTCAGTCAGTTGGGCGTCCTACTTCGGCTTAGGTCACGATCTCGCGGTCCACGAGTTCGAGCCCCGCGTCGGGCTCTGGGCTGATGGCTCAGAGCCTGGAGCCTGCTTCCGATTCTGTGTCTCCCTCTCTCTCTCTGCCCCTCCCCCGTTCATGCTGTGTCTCTCTCTGTCTCAAAAATAAATAAAAGTTAAAAAAAAATTAAAAAAAAAAAGTAAATAATAGTTATATGCTCTTCTGACTTAGCCAGACAGGTGCCCCTGTAAATGATTTTTTTTTTTTTTTAATTCCCATTTCCTAATGTGGCAATGACCCTGAGATTTTTGTTTCTAGTTGTGGGTGTGCCAGAATGCTACTGTGAACCCTTTCTTTGGTACTCTAGACATTGATTTTTGTTTCTGGAGTGCTCAGAAGATGCAGTAGATTAGAGGTGGATTACATCTTTTAGATTACAGCTTCTTCCCATCTTTTGGCAGACCCAGGGGGTCTTGCTGTTTTGTCCATTGGAAGGAATCCTTGATGAAAAAGTGTGGAGTGGTAGGGGAAAAGCTTCAGGAAAACTTACATCAAATACCTGTTAGATTCTATATATACTTATATCACTATTTTTACTAAAGTTTTAAAAGTACAGTTTTGTGAAACAGCTTCAGTCTGGTTGAGATTTTAAAGCTGGCAAGACAGATTTGTAACAGTTTTTCTATATTAATCAACCCATCCAGCATGTCTTTCAACTGTATTTTCCTAGAACAAAAATAGAGTTTTAAAGATATTTTAGATTTAAGTAAGAACATAATAGTAATAATACAATGTGTTGATTCTCTGGACTATTTAGCCTTGCTATTCCCATATACACTAAATTTTGCCACCTACTTGGAAATAATTGGTATTGGGTAACAAGGCACCAGAATAGTGTGGGCAGATCAGTGCAAACTATTACCATTTTTTGAATTTGAGCACAGAGTATATATCCTATTATTAGAAGGACATACTGCCATCTTTTCATGGAAGAACCATTTTAATTGCTTCTGAGACTTGTGTCGTTCAGTGCTATAATGGAGGAAATTCTTCTTTTGAGTGTTATTGCCAAAACAAAGAATTTTATTCTTTAACATTTTGCATTTAAAATTTTGAATGGGTAGATTGATATTGAAACATCCTGTGTCCTTGCTTCTTTTAAAATAATAATTTTTTAATGTTAATTAATTGAGAGAGAGACAGAGAGAGAGAGAGAGAGAGTGTGTGTGTGCATGCGATTAGGGGAGGGTCAGAGAGAGAGAATCCCAAGCAGGCTCCGTGCTGTCAGTGCAGACCCCACCACAGGGCTCTAGCTCATGAACCGTGCGATCATGACCTGAGCCGAAATCAATAGTTGGACCCTTAGTGACTGAGCCACCCAGGTACCCCAAGAGAATTTCTGATGAGAACACTTAAATCTGAATGAATTGAGGTTAATACAGAAAAAAATCGGTATTTTAGTATGTATTAGTATTTTTCATTGTTCACTTAAACCATTGCATTTTTAATTCAGTTTATTTTTATTTATTTATTTATTTTAGAGCAGGCGTTGAGTGGGGGAGGTACAAAGGGAGAGTGAGAGAGAATCTCAGGCTCCATGCTCAGCATGGAACCAGATGTAGGGCTTGATTCCATGATGCTGAGGTCATGGCCTGAGCCGAAATCAAGAGCCAGATGCTTAACCATGCTAAGCCACCCAGGTGCCCCTCGGCTTATTTTTAGATGCATTTAATTTTTAGTAATATTTGCTTCATTGTAAATAGGTTTGAAAAGTGGAGTGTTTTTGTAATCTTGGTAACAGTTTTTGTGTGTTATATTTGTTGTACAGATGCACGCTATTCCTCTGAGGTCCTCCTGGGTGATGACCTGTGCCTATGCACCCTCTGGTAATTATGTTGCATGTGGAGGACTGGACAACATCTGCTCTATATATAACTTAAAAACCAGAGAGGGAAACGTGAGAGTGAGCCGAGAGTTACCAGGTCACACAGGTGAGCTTCACTAAGTAGTGTCCTTTCCTTCCAAGTAGGAGGACTCCTAAAGAATGAACCAAACCAATCAAGGGGAATGAGTGACAGATTGTGCTTGGCTGCTGAAGGTTGAGTGTCAGTCAAGTGAGAGTAGAAATTACTATGAATCAGGAACACACATACTTTATACTTATACAAGTGATGACCATAACTTTAATAAAAACATAAAAAGAAAGCAAAATAATTTTGTTTTCTCTACAACCATCTAACAATGATGGGATTTTGGCATCTGTACTTAGTTATGTAACTGGAAGTATGTATTAGATACACCATGTAAAACACTTAAAAATGTGATAATGCATTGCCTTATTTGCCAATATGTACACCCTAGTGTGTATACAGTAGTGTATAGCATTTGCTTAGTGGTGTTAATAAGGAATTTATTTCCACTTACCAGGTTTCTGCCTCTCTGAATCCTTGACCGTGTTTTTTTACAAAAATCTCTAATGTCATTTTTCTGCCATTTCCATATTTGAAATACTGGTGAATTCTGAGCATTCACAAGACCCACACTCCCCCCCCCCCCCCCCCATGAAGCCTTCCCTGAGGTGGGTCTAATTTCTCACAGTATTGTTGAAGGATTTCCCTATGTACTCAGCCCAGTCTGTCATAGATGATAGATATTTGTGTAAAGGAATCTCTCAGGTAATTCTACTAGACAGAAGGGATTCTTGCCTTAATTATAATTCTCAGAGTGTCCAATAAGATGCCATTGACATAGTAAATATCAGAGCTTTTGATACAATTTAGTTGCAGACAGTATAGAACTTGAAGTAACTAAAAGTAGAACTACAGATTATACTAACACTTGTTGCCCGTGTATTGATTTAAAAAAATCTATAGTATTACTATTTCACATGGTAATTGAGTTCATGAACCACATCCAACCTAAAACGTGTTGCTTTCATGCTTGTAGGCTACTTGTCCTGCTGTCGATTTTTAGATGACAGCCAAATTGTCACAAGTTCAGGAGATACAACTTGGTAAGTGTGGCCCACAAGAATACTGATTTGGGGGTTGAGGGTGGTAGTAGGAACTACTTATAAGAATTATAAGTCTTACATAAGTCTTATATCTTATAAGAACAAGATATAATTGTCATTATTATAATTTATTTTTGATTATAGTGCTTTGTGGGACATCGAAACTGCCCAGCAGACTACCACATTCACTGGGCATTCTGGAGATGTGATGAGTCTTTCTCTGAGTCCTGACATGAGGACTTTTGTTTCTGGTGCTTGTGATGCCTCTTCAAAATTATGGGATATTCGAGATGGAATGTGTAGACAGTCTTTCACTGGACATGTGTCAGATATTAATGCTGTCAGTGTAAGTAAATAGAATTTCTAAGGAAAATTTATTGTGCATTTAAACTGTTGAAGTCTACAACATGATTTTAACAACAGAAACTCCAAACGGGTAATCACAAGTAGTTTAAGCTCAAATAAGTACCCAGTGCATATGAGAATGAACTAGTCATATATAGTTACAATTATTCTATGTATGTCAGATGCCAAACTGTATAGATGTGACTAGGATTTCCAAAAGTACTATGATTGCAATTTATAAAAAATTTTTCTTTCTTTTTTAAGAGTGAGAGAGCAAGCCAGGGAGGGGCAGAGGAGAGGGAAACAGAATCTGAAGCAGGTTCTGCACTATCAGTGCAAAACCTGATGTGGGGCTCGAACTCACAAACCGTTGAGATCGTGACCTGAGCTGAAGTTGGATGCTTAAGTGACTGAGCAAAGCAAGTGCCCCTCAGGAGTAGAATTTAGTGATTCATTAGTTACATACAATACCCAGTGTGCATCATAACAAGCACCCTCCTTAATTCCCATCACCCATTTAGCTCATCCCTCAACCCACCTACCTTCCAGCTACCTCAGTTTGTTCTCTATAGTTAAGAGTCTCTTATGGTTTGCTTCCCTCTCTTTTTTTTATTTCATTTTTCCTTTTCTTCCCCTCTGTTCATCTATTTTGTCTGTTTTTTTAAATGTTTATTTATTTTTGAGAGAGACAGAGTGTGAGCAGGGAAGGGCAGAAAGAAAGGGAGACACAGAATCTGAAGCAGGCTTCAGGCTCTGAGCTGTCAGCACAGAGCCCAATGCAGGGCTTGAACTCGTGAACCACAGGATCATGACCTGAGCTGAAGTCAGATGCTTAACTGACTGAGCCACCCAGGTGCCTCCATCTATTTTGTTTCTTAAATTTGACATATGAGTGAAATCATCTGGTATTTGTCTTTCTCTGACTTATTTTGCTTAGCATAATACACTCTAGTTCCACTATGTCATTGCAAATGGTAAGATTTCATTATTTATTTTTTAATGTTTATATGTTTATTTAGAGCACATGTGCACAACTGGGGAAGGGGCAGAGAGAAAGAGAGAGGGAGGGAGGGAGAAAGAGCAAGAGCACAAACTGGGGCTGTATTTCCATGAACCATGAGATCATGACCTGAGCTGCAATAAAGAAATCGAGGGTCGGACACTTAACTGACCCAGCTACCCTGGCATCCCAAGATTTCATTCTTTTTGATGGCTGAGTAATAACAACACTCCCATTTCCCCCTGCAGCCTTTGTGCAGCTGTTGTAATTTTACTTTTATATATTTTAAACTCCACAGTACATTGCTTTTGCTTTGAGGAGCTGATACTCTTTAAGGGACATTTAAAAAATAAAGTCTTTGTTTACTTAGCTACCATTTTCTGTTTTCAGTCTTGTTTATAGATTCAGATTTTCGTCTATTTTCCTTCTTCTTGAAGGGCTTCCTTTAACATTTCTTATAGTGTAAATCTGCTAAAGTCCTTTGGCTTCTGTATGTCTAAAATATTTTTGGGGTGCCTGGCTGGCTCAGTCAGAAGAGCGTGTGACCTGTGAACCCAGGTTTGTGAGTTCGAGTCCCGTGTTGGGTGTGCAGATTAACTTAAAATTGTTAAAAGTTTTTTTTTTGTTATTTTGCCATCATTTTTTAAAGGTATTTTCACTTTTTTTTTCTTTTGATACCATAAAGATGTTATTCCATTGTTTTCCATGTTGGTACTGATATGAAATGTGCTTTCATGCTTATATTTGGTCTCTACGCAGTGTGTCCTTTGTTTTTCTCTGACTGCTTTTAATATTTTCTCTTTTGGTTAAGCAACTTTATTATGATGTATCTTGTGTAATTTTCTTCACTTTTCTTGTGTCTGGATCTGTGGGTTACAATTTTCATCAAAATCGGAAAATTTTCAGCCATCATCATTCAAATATATTTTTCGTCTCCTCTCCTTTGGGGGCTCCAAATACATATATATTAAGACAGTTGAAGTGTTCCCACAGTTCGCTTATGCTGTGTTACTTTTATTTTTCAGCCTTCTTTTTTGCTGTTTTTCACTCTGGATAGTTTGTTGCTAGGTCTTCCAGGTCGCTACTCTTCTGCAGTGTCTAATCTGCCATTAAGCCCATATGGTGTACGTTTTAATCAGACATTGCTTGCATCCTTGTCTGTTAACCTATCATCCATGACATTTTTGGGTTTGTGTCAGCTGAATGATTTTTCTAATTGTGGGTCATAGCTTCTTTTTTGTATGTCTGATTTTCTTTTTTTTAATTTAATTTTTTTTTTTTAATGTTTACTTATTTTTGAGCGTGAGAGAGACAGAGAGTGAGTAGGGGGAGGGGCAGAGAGAGAGAAGGAGACATAGAATCTGAAGCAAGCTCCAGGCTCTGAGCTGTCGGCACAGAGCCCAATGTGGGGCTTGAACTTATGAGACCATGACCTGATCTGAAGTTGGACACTTAACTGACTGAGCCACCCAGGCGCCCCTCCCCTCTTTTTAAATTTCTTTTTAATGTTTATTTTTGAGAGAGACAGAGCATAAGTAGGGGAGGGCATGTCTGATTTTCATTAGATGCCAGCCAGACATTGTAAATTTTACCTTATTGGGTGCTGGATATTTTTTTATGTATATAAATATTGCTTTGTTTTAGGGTATAGTTATTTGGAAATAGTGTGATCCTTTCAGGCCTTTCATTTCAGTTTTGTTAGGTGGGACCAGAGCAGCATTTTGTGTATGCTTAAGTTTGCCCCACCAGTGAGGGAAAACCTCTCTCTTCCCAGTGAATTATGAGGTTTTCCCTCTTGTTACAGTTGGACAAGCATCATTCCTGGCCCTGCGTGGGCATCAGTTTCCTGTTATCTTTATGGGTGTCTCCCCTGCTTGAATAGTTTCCTCACACACCTGTGATCAGTTTTCAGCTGAGTACTTGAGAGGCCCCTCATCATCTCCTGACTTTTCTGTCTACGAAGCATTGTCCTGTCTGGTGCTCTGGCCTGTGTACTCTAGCTGCCTTGGACTCCCTGGATTCCTAGCTCTGTCTCTTCAACTCTGGGACATCAGCAGGCTTCATTTGGGTTCCCCTTCCTGGCACCATGACCTGTAAACTTTCTCCAGGCAGGAAGGGGGGTCAGTTATGGAGTTTACCTCATTTGTGTCTTGTCTCTCAGGGACCACTCTTCTTTGTTGACTCCAGTGTCACTGGAGTTGACAACAGTGATGTCCAGTGTCTTTAGAACCATGTTTCATATATGTTGTCCATTTCAATTGTTTTTTTTTCAGCATAGGGGTAAATGTGATCAGCATTACTCCATTTTGGCTGAAAGCAGAAGTATAGCCAAAAAATAATTTTTTAAGCATAAAGTGAGCTGAAGAAAGAAACCAATTGTGAGGGGCTTGCCAAGTACTTGAAAGTAATTTTAAAAGACCAACATAGACCCATCCTCTTGAATTTAAAATATCAAAACATAAGGACCAAAAAATCCTAGAAATATTCAAAATGAAAAAGTAGATTACCTAGATACAAAAAAAAAAAAAAAAAAAAAAAAAAATCAGGCTAGCCTCACACTTTTCCCTAATAGACAGTGCCTAAAGGCTTCTGAACAATATCCACTGAGTGTTGAGGGAGAAATATTGTGACCCAAGAATTTTAAGTATCAGAGGTCATATTTAATGTAGGGAGAAAAATTCCAGTAAATATGACATAGGATAAGAGATTAAGACCAAATATGAATAACTCAGGGCAATACATGTGTATGGTTGCCACTATTAAAAGATACAGAGTAAGTCAAACTCTGTGTTTACAAGAGCTACATCTAAAACAAAATGGCCCAGGATGGCTAACAGTAAAAATGAAAAAGTGGGCACACCTTAAACTAAAAGAAATGTTAGTAATAGTACTACATTTCTATTAAACAAAATAAAATTGAAACAAAAGTTAAAGAAGTTTTATGTTAATAAGAGATGGTCTGTAGGGAAGCCATAACACTGAAATGCCCGTAAAGCCAAAACCATTAGAAATGAAGGGAGAAATGAACCCAAAACACCATTGTGTAAGAGAGTTTCGTATACAACTTTGAGGTATTGATATCCTAGGTAGTCAAGAAAAAAACCCTAAGGATTAAATAATACTGTTTAATAATGTTGACTGAATACACTTACTTCACTCTGCACCATACGGATAACCATTCACATAGTAGGCCACAAAAGAAAGAATAAATCTGAGGTTGAATAGCTCAGGACTTGGGAAAAAGGAAAAAGAACAGTTCACACCAGGAGGGTGAGAGGAAGGAGCTGGTAAAGAGAAAAGCAGAAATACAGATTGAAGTGAGAGCCTTTACCTGAACCAACAGGCTCTCCATTATCTACCCTCTGCCCCTTACCTGCAGTCCATCCAGCCCTGGAGCAGCTGCACCTGTCACATCTGCAAAGTTCTGAAAGACATTCTTTCCCTTCAGTTTAGTGTAGACTCACTCTGTGGCAGAACCTCACTGGAAGGACAAAGAGCTATTTGTATGTAGTCTCTACTTACCCCACTTAGTCTGACCATGTTGCTCACTCAATACACACTGTTGTGTTTATTTACTACAGTGCACTACTTCAGGACCCAGTGGAATTTTATACACAGCATATTACTTTTCTAAAAATCTGGGAAACAACTGTCCCAAGGTGTTTATATCAGCCTGTTAGGTAGGGCTTGTGGGCCTATGATCACCCATTACCCATGCTGCCTACCTCTTCCTGCGATCTGCCCAGTCCTCACTCTGCCTCAGTCACGCTGGCCTCCTTGTCCCCCACCCCCACATTTCCCCCATGGGGTCTGTCACCTTCACTGCTTCCCCCCTCCCTCAGTCTTCCCAGCAGAAGCCCATTGTTCACCTCTTACGGGGCAAGAGGAGGTGTATTTACTAAGTACTTCTCAGTAAAACCTTCCCTGGACACTCTAAGCTTTTGCCCATGCTCCCTTTCCCTTTTCCTGCTTTATTTTTTTTCTCCTTAGTACTTATCTAACATGCTTGGTTTTTTACTTTTTGTGTTTATAGTATGCTTCACAAGAATATAAGCTCCACGGAGACAGATTTTTGTCTGTTTTGTTGACTTCTGTATATCACCTGACTAGCACTCAGAACAGTCGGTGCTCAATGAATATTTGAATGAACATTTAGAAAATTTCAAAAATAGAAAACTATTAGAAAATTTTAAAATTCAATAATCTAAGACTTTGCTCCCTAAATCTCTAGTAAACTTAAGAGGAAAAAGATAAAAATTGCAGATATACAAAATGAAGATACTATAGTAAAGGTTATATTACTCACAGATAAAAGATTTTGTTTTATTTAAAAATTTTTTTAAAGACTTTGAAAATCTTAAAATATATACTGTATAACTTATGGTCATTCTAGTTTTCCAAAACTGTCTCAATAAGTAAAAACTTGCATAGCTTGATAATTTTCTTTAACAAAAAAATAGCTTTAAAAAAACTTACAGACCCATGTATGTTTTAGGCAAATAATTCATACTTCATTTGAAGGAACAGGAAATTTGAGCACTATTAAAGCTGTTCCTAAACACAGAAAAAGGGTCAAAGTTTTCCAGTTTATTGTGTCAAACTAGCATAACCTTTACACCAAAACACAAGACTGGGTACCCCTTAAAACTAGATAAAACCATCTTAGGAGAGATTATAGCAAATCAAATCCAAAAATGTGTCAAAGTAAGAAGAAAAATGTTAAGTAAAAATTATAAGAATGATTTAATGGGGCGCCTGGGTGGCTCAGTTGGTTAAGCGTCCGACTTCGACTTTGGCTCAGGTCCTGATCTCACAGTCCGTGAGTTTGAGCCCTGTGTCGGGCTCTGTGCTGACCTCTCAGCATGGAGTCTGCTTCAGATTCTGTGTCTCCCTCTCTCTCTGCCCCTCCCCTCCCCTGCTCATGCTCTGTCTCTCTGTGTCTCAAAAATAAATTTAAAAAACATTAAAAAAAATTTTTTTTTAAAAGAATGATTTATTATGGAAATTTTTGTTAATATATTTCCTAATATCAGTTTGTCAGTATTCTGGATACTGAAAACTGGCTGATAAAAAGCAAACACCCATTATTTGTTTTGTTTTTTTTTTAAGTTTATTTATTTATTTTGAAAGAGAAAGTGGGGGAGAGGCAGGCAGAGAGAGAGGGAGAGAGAGAATCCCAGGCAGGTCTGCACTGTTAGAGCAGAGCCCAGTCAGTGCGGGGCTTGATTTCAGGAACCTTGAGACCATGACCTGAGCCAAGGCCAAAGTCTGATGTTTAACCGACTGAGCCACCCAAGGTGCCGCCAAACACCCATTCTTAAAAAACAAAGAATTCAGTACTAGAAAGCTCTTCTCTGCCATTTAAAAACAAACAACCCCCATCACAAAACCCACCTTAAATGAACTGCCAACATCACACACACTTTTGAGTGTATATTAAATCTGCCAGATGCATTTAAATCTATATATTTCCTGTCATTCTAAAGGCTATCTTACCTAAGGGCTAATTTCCTGTAGTTTTGAGAGCAGTTAAAACTAGTTCATTGTATTGGTAGAGTGAGCATATATCATCCAAACTGGGAAATGTGAAATTTTCAGTGTGAAAAAGTGCAGTTATTAATTTTGCCAGGGAGAAGGGCATAAACAGAGACTATCCTGTGCAAAATGGGATGGCTGGTCATCCTGTCTCTTGAACATCAATGTTGGCATGCTGTGGCCCCCAAACACGGAGCCAAAAGGGTCGTCTTGATTGGGTGTTCTCCACTAGGCGTCCTTTAGTGCAGGCCCTATAGCTTCGGTTTTGGTCTGTGGTAGAGAACAGGATTGAATCCATACATGCTGATAAATGTATGCAAATGGCATTGCTGAACTTCCAGCAAAGGAACAACACAGAGGATCTTGCTAGCTGGTAGAATGGAAGGAAGTGGTCAAAACCATTAGCCTCTAGCAGTAAGGGTTTGGTGAAGTGTTTCACATTACTGTTAAAATACAAGTACTTGATTTCTGAGAACCTGTTAACCTGTTAGCACTCCCTTCCTCTACCATCATCTGGGAGTGTGGGGGGTTTTACATTCCATATTCGTGGGGCACCTGACTGGCTTATTTGGAGCATGTGACACTTGATCTTGGGGTTGTGAGTTTGAGCCCCATGTTGGGTATAGAAATTACTTAAAATCTTAAAAATAATAAGGGCCACCTGAGTGGCTCAGTCAGTTAAGCATCAGACTCTTGATTTCAGCTTAGATTGTGATCTCATGGTTTATAAAATAGAGCCCTGTGTTGGGGTCCTCACTGACAGCACAGAGCCTGCTTGTGGTTCCTTCTCTCTCTCTGCCCCTCCACTGCTCGCTCACTCAAAAATAAACATTTAAAAAGTAAATAAAATTCCCTATTACTGAATGAGAAGACTGCATATTGTAAACCAATCATTTATTCCTCAAACTAATTTTTAGGCTTAATACAAATTTCAGTTTAAACCCAAGTGGATTTTTTTTGAGATGAGTCAGAGGAATATGAAGAAAATAAATTTGATCAAATATCTGTGAAATTCAGGCGGGGGGAGAAAAAAGGAGAAAATAAAATGATTTGAATCATAGTAATATGAGTATTTTGCCATACCAGATAGAAAAATTTATTAAGTTATGATTTAAAAAAACCATGTGGTATAAGTACCAGAAAGACAGAACTAATGTTTTTGTGTATATAAGAGTTTAGTGAATTAAAGGTGTAACAACAAAATCAGTAAAATTATTTAGTCAGTAGTTGGACAATTGTTTGACTATTAAGAAAATTAAGTTAGATCCTTATACTGAATGCTGTATATCAAATTCCAGATGGATAAAAATTAAGATGTGAAAAATTATTTTTAAAAATTAGAAAAAAAATAATTGAATATCTGGTAATAATCCTGAGAAAGGACTTTATTCATAAAAATAATGGAAATCTCAAAAGGAAAGATGAACTTGACTACATAAAAATGAATATTGCTAAAAAAACATTGCTTTATATTTTAAAAAAACTATAAAAAAACTGTAAAATGTTTGCAAAAAACAAAATTTATATTCATCTAATTCCTTCAAGTACTAACAGCATAGTTAAAATAAGCAAAGATCATGAAAAGTCAGTTCATGAAAGTAATACAGATGACCAACAGGTATATGAAAAAAGCCTTTGTAAAAAACAAAACAAAAAAAAACAACAAAAACAAAAACGTTGAGTAGTGCCGGTTTCTGAGAGAAAGGGATTTACAAACTAATAATGCATAGCTTTCTAACTAGCTTAACTTTATGCCTAGCCTAGCTGGGATGATTTATGTTCTTTGCTGTAAAATGTTTCCTATTTATTTCTCCTAATGGGATTTTGGAATGTTTAAGAGTACACATACATAAATTCTACAAATAGTAATGTTCGATTTAAATCTTTTAATAAGCCATATGGAGGAGGAACAGAGCCAGCATTTACTGAATACTTGCTATGTGCTAAACCATGTACCTTGCATGTTAGTTCATTCAATCCTAACCAACACTCTGAAACCAAGGCCCAAAGTGTTTAAGAATTTTCAGGGCCCAATAGCTTTTCACCTGGTAAGAAGCCAAGTTGGAATTCAAATCTAGGTCTGTTTTACCTAGAGTCTGTCATCCCACCATAACACGTGGTTTTTGTGTACTTTTACAGAATAAATGTTTGTTCCTTTTCTTTCTAGTTTTTCCCAAATGGATATGCCTTTGCCACCGGCTCTGATGATGCCACTTGCCGGCTTTTTGACCTCCGTGCAGACCAAGAATTACTGCTGTATTCTCACGACAATATTATCTGTGGAATCACCTCTGTAGCTTTCTCAAAAAGTGGGCGCCTCCTGTTAGCTGGTTATGATGACTTCAATTGTAATGTATGGGACACGCTAAAAGGAGATCGTGCGGGTTAGTAAAGAAGTCCACAGTAGGTTTTGATTTTGTTAGGAAACGAGGTTCCTATCAGTTGTCGAGGCCTGGACTCTCCTTAGAGCTGTGGGGAATGATGACCTGGCAGTTCTCATGCATGGTCCTTGTCCTGTGAGTGCGTTTCCAGCCCATAAACCATATTTACATTCCTGTTTTCTGAAGAGTAACATCTAGTTCTATAGTAGCTTCTTGTTTGGTGAGTTTTGCTCTAAAGAGAAATAGTGAATATAATTCAGCGTGGTGTTTTCCAAATTACAGTTTCTTCTAACCTAACAGGAAACTAACTGCTCTGAATCATCTTCCTTCTGAGCAGATCCTGTCTGGGACACAACCTAGATCTGCACTCTCTTCCCTTAGCCCCATGCTCTGAGTTCTCCCCTGCAGCTTCCAGAATATTAGTGAAAGTATCAAGTCCTCCTAGGGACTGTCATTAATAACAACTTACACAGAGTGGTATTATGTATATTTTTAGAATCAAAATTATGCTATGGAACCAAGTAAGTACATGGTTTGTTCCCAAAACAGCAGCCCTCTGGCCCTCAACCCACATTTTCTGTTCCCAAAGGTAGCTCCTAAGTATTCATTTCCATATCTTTAAATAACATGCCTGTATCGCTTTTATTTGATGTGTGTGTGCACACACACATGTGCACCCTCCAGTGTGGATTATTTAGTATCCACATGGGGGAGCAGTAGGAGGAGTGATGTTAAGGCTGAACTCTCAACAGCGAATAGCTATAAGGCTATTTTCTTAAAATATTTATTTGTTGAGAGAGCAGGGGAGGGGCAGAGAGAGAATCCCAGACAGCCTCCACACGGTTGTGGAGCCCGACGCAGGGCCTGATCTACTGAACCATGAGATCATGACCTGAGCCGAAACCAAGAGTCTGACACTTAACTGACTGAGCCACCCCGGCGCCCCAAATGCTTAGAAGTTTGTTTTGTTTTAAAGCTAAAGTCTTTTTTTCTTTTAAATTTTTTTTAATGTTTATTTATTTTTAAGAGAGAGAGGGAGACAGCGTGAGCAGGTGGAGGGCAGAGAGAGAGGGAGACCCAGAATCCGAAGCAGGCTCTAGGCTGTCAGCACAGAGCCCAGTGTGGGGCTCGAACTCACAAATGGTGAGATCATGACCTGAGCTGAAGTCGGACGCCTGAGTGAGCCACCCAGGTGGCCCTAAATGCTTAGAAGTTTAGAAACAACAATTCCATTGGGTCATGATTTTTTTTTTTTTTTTTTTTTTAAACTTCATGGCATGCTCTGTTGAGGGTTCAGCTTTAACATCGCTCCTCCTACCACAGCCACATCCTTCCCATCGTTCAGTGTTTACCTGATTAGGACTTTTTAAACAGTACGTATTGCAGAGCAATATACACTTGGTGTATATTAGGTTATGTTAATTTTTTGGCTTATATTCTTAGCTTTGATATACTTATGAATCATCAGACTTTTTGCTGGTTTTTAAAAAAAATTTTTTTTAATGTTTATTTACTTTTGAGAGAAAGAGGTGTGAGCAGGGGAGGGGCAGAGAGAGGGAGACACCAAATCCAAAGCAGGCTCCAGGCTCTGAGCTGGCATCACAGAGCCTGATGCAGGGCTCGAACTCCCAGACCACGAGATCATGTCCTGAGCTGAAGTTAGACGCTCAACCAACTGAGCTACCCAGCCGCCCCAACTTTTTGCTGGTTTTAATAGATCTTGGAGTAGATCCATTTTCTTCTCGTTAAGAGATCATCTCTCTCTTTTTCTATCAAATAAGTCTCTAGGTTTATGCCCTGGTACAAGATGATCAGTCATCTGACTCAGAGTAGAGACCTGCGATGTCCGATTCTTGAACACTTTCTCATGTAGTCTTAGTTTATTTCCCCATCTTTGCCCCTTTCTGTTTCCAGAGATGGCTGGTTCCACTAGCATGTAACCCTTGTAGAGGTGCCGCGGTGTGAATTGATTTCTCAGCATACCACAGCATTTGCTTTGAACTCAGCATTTTGTTTGGGGTCCACTAACACTGTACTACCATGTAGCGTATAGTTTTGTTACCACTGCCGGCTCGGTCCTGTCCTTGTGGGCTTGTATTCTTACCTTTAAACTCCTATACAGTTGTTGAGACTTCTGAGGGAGTAGGGGCAATGTTAACATTCCCGTGAATAACTTTCTACATAACAACCTTTCCTAAGAGATGGCAGAAAAGTTCACAGTTTCACAGTCTGCCTGTAGAAATTTGGAGATACTCTTGTCCAAAGCCAATTACTTTTTCAAGAGGTATTCGGTGTTTTGCCTGGGTTGAATCAGTTAGTATCCATAACAAAATTTAAAATCTGTTTCTTTTCCATGTTTTAGCCTATATTTGAGTTTGAGTGTTGCTTTGCTTACAGCTGCTTGGTTTCAAGTGGGCTCAACTGTATACTTTCACAGTAAAATTGAATGGTGACTTGTGAATTGCTAATTCATTTTTCTTTCCAACGTGACTTGGACTATTTAGTCACTGTTCGTTTTTTGTAATTTTAACCTGTAATTGTAAATTTGCCCATTGCTAAACATTGCCATACTGGAAGTACTACAGAGAATATTAGGAGTTAAGAAAGGATGAACTTCTGTTCCTGAAGTTGGGTGAAAATGATAATGCTTCATTGTATAGAGATCCTGCAGACTCATACACAGTAAAGAAAAAATCTTGATATATTCCAATTTTTCTTCTACATCTTCACATTTCTCATTTTCCTCCCAATTATTTGGGAATAGCCCATGTGGTGATGTGAATAGCAGATAAATTTAACTGTATTTATTCAAATGAATTTAACTTTAATAGACAAAACTAAAACTAGATGTGTTGGTTTCACAAAGTTATAACCAAATTATTGCAGTGTTTGCTGTTTAACAACGAAAATATATAAACTGTGTTGGTATTTTTGGAAGTGGTAATGTCAGGCAATTTCATTCTTACATTTCCCACCCCCCCCCCCCCTTTTTTTTTTTTTTTTTGAGGGGCGGGGGAGAGACTCTAAAGCAGTCTCCATGCCCAGCACAGATATCAAGGGTTTAACTGACTGAGCCACCCAGGCATCCTGTGTTCTTACATTCTTTATGTTCTTGTGAAAGGCTACTTCACTGAACTTCCTTTGGAATTTTGTTTTTGTTGAAAATAGCGTAGAGCAATGGCAGCATCTGGAGTATCATGAACTTACTAGAAATGTAAAATATAATCTGTTTTAGATATAAGCATAATTATAAGATCACTTTACAGAAGTGATAAAAGCATGAGCCAACGTACATGTCAAAAATTCACATAAGGGAAAGAATTGTATTTTGTACACATATAGCTTACCCCTGGGACCAAGTCTCCCCATTTAGGTTTTAAATACCCTCTTAGATCTTTATGCACATAGTTGTTTAATTCTGAAACTTGTCTGTTGCTAATTTTTTTACTGAACTTTTTGTTTTTCAGGTGTTCTTGCTGGTCACGATAACCGGGTCAGCTGTTTAGGTGTAACAGATGATGGCATGGCTGTGGCAACAGGCTCTTGGGACAGTTTTCTTAGAATCTGGAATTAATAGCATGTGCAGGTTTTTCTGTTCTCCGTTGCTATCTGGAGAAATCAGTGCTACAGCCTATAGCTGTGAGAAGAAAATTCTACCTTATATTTGCAGGTGAAGATTTTTCTATTGAGATAATTATATACAAAAAGCAGCTTTCAGTAAACTATAAAACAAAAAAGTGGAAAAAAAAAAAAAAAGGCAAGGGTGCTTGCTGAGATCAAAAGGACCAGTGCATTAATTTGAGTTGAGCTAATTTAACTTTGATGAATTTTTGCTTGTACTCAGATTCTTTATTTTGTGTAGGACAGAATGTACACATTATAGCAGTCTATCATGTTTGTGTGTTTGCATTTTTTTAAGAACTACATTTTTAACTTTCTATACATAAGAATATCACATTTTTGAGTTATGTAATGGAGGAAGTAGGCACAGTGATAGATGGAAGTGATTCCAGATGTATGTGTGCTGTATTTGAAGAAAGTCTTCTTGAAGTCTGACCTTCCTTTTTGATGTAAAAGACATTTGGTTGCCTAATGTTTAAGTATACTAGCAGGCTTAGGTACTTCTGAGGGGAGACCCTTTTGAGTATCAGTAGTTTCTGGTGCATCCTTGGCCATCCTGTGAATTTAAAGAAGTGCTTGTTTTCAGTCCTTGGAGGGGGAGATAATCTGAAGGCCAGGGAATCAAGATTTCATTCTGAAACTTTAGACATACATAAGAAACTCCTATATTAATAGCAGTAATTGCATAAAAATTATTGACATTTTAAAAATGTGATTATGACCAAGACACTTTCAATAGACCTCTAAATAGTTGGGCTTACTTTCCTATGGATTTGATATTCTAGAACTGAGTTTGTAGGTACACTCATTATTTCAGATTGATGAACGATTGGACTGTCCTTTAATCTGAAGAGTTTTCCCCAGTGTACTCCATTGACCTACATGTAGATAGGAAATAATGTGATGACATTATATTGTCGAAAGAAGTGTAAAATCTAATCAGTCACTAGACTTGATTAGTTCTAATTGTGTAGTGTAACAAAGTGGCTTTATGAATTTATGTTCAGATAATACAAAATCTGAATTGATATAAATTTTCTGTGACTTAAATTTGAAAGAAATATTAAAGCTTTTTGCTCTTCTGTAGTACTTCTTCTTTTGGCACAAAATACTGGTTTCTAAGTGATTTTTGCCTCAAAGAATGCTTAGATCCAAGTGACTCCACTTGAAAGCCAAAAGAAAAATTCTAAGAGCAGCTCTTTAAGGAATCAGAGGACAATAGTAAGCAGTTCCTCTGTTCGTAAATGGTATAATGTGTCTGTTACTAGAAGGCCTGCCCGCCCTTCCCTCACATCAAATTTAAACAAAGATACTTTTCCCCTTGGATTTTCTCCTATAAAGGAAGCTAAATGACAATAGAAGATTGTTAGTCTTGCTTGATGGTGAAGTCATGGGTTATTCTGATATATAGAAGTGCATTGTTTTGTGATATAGTGAACTGCATCTGTTACTGTGGAGACAGGTCTCAACTTTTCATCACCTGTAACCCTAACCTAAATACTCCCAAACTGTACTTGTGAATTTTCATTTTTATATTGTGAATGTGCTAGTAAGTGAATCAGCTATAATGTATCAGTTTTAAGAACAGCTGATAATAATAAAAAGGAAAATGGATACAGGAAGATTATGATACAGGACCAAAAAAATACATTGTAGATGGCAGGCATGAATGTATATTTATAAACACATAAGATTTCTATGAACCTTTTGCAGTTAATGTTTGTGAACTGTCATTTCATAAAGAGCAGTTCTTTGAGATAAGCCAAGAGTATTTTAAAGGAATGTACTCATTTCCCCAAAAGGTGAGGGTCTGCCATGTAGTTCAGCAATTCATTCCAAAATCCTATTCAAGAAAGCATTTCTGCCATGTGCAAAGTAACATATATATATATATATACATATATATATATATATGTGTATATATATATATATGGGAAGTATCTTTTCTACTTTGAAATTTAATAACAAGATACTTTCGTCAGAGGCACAGCCTACTTCCATGGTCTTAAACATATTGATAGAATGATTTAAAAAATCTTGGGTAGATTAGTTTAAAAGCAGCTCCCATAATTAAATATGTACTAGGCAACTAAAAACCAACCACTGTTGTGGTTTCTACATGATGACCAAATGGTGACCTCATTACCACATTAACTTTCTAGTTAAACCTTTGCTCTCCAGTAATATAGGTTCCAGTTGCTAAACATTTGTTTACTGAAGCTCAAGTTCAGCTGGTGGTCTATTTAAGTGCTGTGCGTAAGACTTCCTATAATTAGTTAAGAACGTAGTATATAGAGGCACTGTATAAATTTTAGTTCAAGACTAAAATTATGTCCAAATACAGTTTTAAAGAATTCGATCAAGAATGTTGCATTTATTTGGTGCCTATTAATTTTCTTTTACCTTATAAGAAGCATTTAAACATAATATGTCTCAGCATTTTTATTTGTAGACTCCTCATTAATCACCTCGTAAAGAGTGTTTTTTTCAGATCTGGCAAGAATTTTTTTTTTTTTTTTTTTTGATAATCTTAGGTTCCATGCTCAGCACAGAGCCTGACACAGAGCTTGATCCCATGACCCTGGGATCATGACCTGAGCCTAAATCAAGAGGCAGATGCTTAACACACTGAGCCATCCAGGTGCCCCATTGCAAGAATATTTTAAGAGCACATTCTTTTCTAAAAAAAAAAAGTTAGCATGATTGCCATGTGGTTCAGCAAATCATCCCAAAAGCTGATAGTAAGGGCCTCTCTACTTTGAAGGACAGGCCTCATTTTTGGCAGCTGTATTAGAGGTTTAGACTGAATGTCCAAGGTCCCTCCCTAGCTCAGATTTTTATAGTTGTAATCCCATGGTTACATGCACCATATTGAGTTTTATCTTCAGAGGCAAAAATGTGGGTTTAATATTTTAATCTTAAGAGTCTAATACAGTTCTTATTTTAATTTAGTAATTTAGACGCAGCTGAACCCATACTGCGATGATAGTAAACTAGTCTAGACACAATGGATGTAGGTGCTTCTGAATGTGTTGAGCCATTTTAAAGTTAACCTATTAAGAGAAATGGATCTTGACTTCTCCAGGTGACAATGAAACTTTTATTTCTAAAATATACTGTGCCAATATTATAACTTTGTCCGACACTATTGAGGTCTTAGATTTAATAAAATTTTAACCTTTTTAAAAGTGAAAACATTCAGGGAAATTTATGCTGATTACTGTTGAATGTTTCACATATTGAATAGTTACGGCTTATCTGTTGACATTTAAACTTACGGAAACTGATTAAACAATCTTCTAAACTGGCCTATCATTTTAACAATATTCTTTCTAGAATCTTTAGGGTGTAAGTATAAGGCTTAAAAATTTTTGCTTTTAAATTAAGTACTATGTTCAGCTTTAAATTTCCCCTTTGCCATTGTGGAAAGCAAAATTCTAAACTGTCTTATCTCCTGTGAGAATTTAAAACATGCACAAGGATAGACCGTCTTTCTTGTGAGAAATTTAAAGTAAAAGGTGAACTGTTTCATATTTACTAGTGTTTCTCCCGTTCATTTTGAATTGTCTTAAATTCAGTGGTATATTTAAAAATATTGGTTACAATAGGTACTCATTAAGATGGTTTGTAGTTGAATGTCTAAGCTAGCAGTGTATTTTTTAAAAGTTAGTCACAGATTGATGGTACACCTTGTATTTAGCCAATTTGCATGTTGATAAAATTTCCTGAGTCTTTTTTCCTTAAATCCAATTACTGATCCTATAAAATAGTTATAATGCAGCATCATGAAAAAACTGGTTATGTGTTTCAACTGGTTTTAAGTGTTCCCAACAAAATCTTACATCATGTAGTATTTATTTTTTACTTAATGGAATTTCAGTGATACTTGGTGGATATTTCAAGCCTTTTTGTCTTTTACACAATGGTGCTCTATTCTATTGTTTTCAAAGAAGCATTTGAACACTTGGATTTGTGTATTCTTATCCAAAGGCATCCACAAATAAGTGGGTTTTTAAAGCTGATTATTTTTTCCCACTTACAATGGATTCTACAAACTCGTAGCGAATTGACTCTGAATGTCAGTAGTATGACTTGGGGAAAGGTGAACGTAGATTAAAGCTCTTATAAAAGCTTTAAACCAAACTATGGACTTGTACCATGATTTAATAGTATTCTTGGATCTTTTCTTGCACAGTGATTCATTCCTTTATTTGTACAGTAGCTCTGTGAAATATTGCTGTGAATTGATATTGTAATCAATAAAGTGCTTTTAACCAGACTGCATACAGCATGTTTTAATTTTAAAAATCACACTAAAACTTAAGTCTCAGAAGTAAACTCCAAGCCCAGTCATTTCATGCTCAGCCTTTTTTCCTTTATCTAAACATTGGCAATTATGAAATGAAAAATGGGCTGCTGGAAGCAAGGAATAAATGTACTTCACTTTACTGCCTTATGAATGCCAGCTTACTTATTAACCAGTTGATTGCTTATAGGATGTAGATAAAAGTATTCACTGTTGTCATTTCATCTCCACACCGTTGGAGGGAGTTGAGTACTTGGCTAGGCACGTGAGTCATGACCCAAGATACCTATAGCCCTACTGCAAAACTTAAGATTAAAACTCACTAATGCCAGTAAAAATGTACATTTATCAACTATCAGGCAAACAAGTTTTATTTTCACCTTGCATACTTATAAAAATGTAGTTCTATAAAAAGTTTGTTATATAAAGTTTATAAATAATCTCGCAAACGTACATAGTAATCAAGTATGTGCAATAACTTTGAACTACAGCTGTGAAATACATAATTTCTGTATAATTCACGGGCTTAGTCATAGATGCACTTCTCTCCAGGCATAAAGGTTGAGTTTCATTATTTTAGTGTTCTGTTTCCAACATTCATGCATTTTCAAACTTGATCAGGTGGAAATGCATTCAAACTAGTGATGGAAAACTTACTATAAATTGACTATACCAGAACCACTATTCCAGTATTACCCCAACTTTAGTGTGCATCAGGATCACATGGAGGGCTTGTTAAAACAGATGGCTGGTTTCCAAACCTAGTCCTGGATTTAACAGGTCTGGGGTGAGACCCTGCAGTATGTATTTCTTAGTTCACAAGTGATACACAGATAATCCAGAGGTCAA